CCCCGGCCCCAAACAGTCCAGTGGCACTTTTAAGACCAAGTTTTATTCAGGTACAAGCTCTCCCTCCTCTGCGAGGACAGATCTGCATGTGTCCTTTCCCCCCCCCCCCAATAGCTAGCAATCCAAAACAGTCTAGTGGAGCCTGAGCAGTGGATGTTGCCTTCTGACACACTGCCGGTGAGGTCAGGGGGTGTGGCACATGCAAATGAGTTATGCTCATGAGTTATGCTAACGAGCTCCTGCACCTCTTTCTCTACGAAATGACCCCTGCTCAAATCCATATGCGCACGAAGCACCGTCCTTTTGACCTTTTTGTCATGTCTTTCCTTAGTAGTACAACAGCTATCATGTGGAGCGGGTGGGGGGGGGACTGTGAAATGTTTTGGTGTTAAAAATGGGTCCTCACACTCGAAAAGGTTGAGACCCACTGGTAGTTCTACTCTATTCTGCTATGGTCAGGCCTCACCTGGAGTCCTGTTTTGGGCACCACATTTTAGGAAGGCTGTCGACAAGCTTGAGCGTGTCCAGAAGAGGGCAACTAGGATGGTGAAAGGGTTGGAATCCAAGTCTTACGAGGAAAGGCTGAAAGAGTTGGGTCTGGTTAGCCTGGGAAAGAGAAGGCTTAGAGGGGACATGATTGCAGTCTTCAAATATCTGAAGGGCTGTCATGTAGAAGATGGAGCAGATCTATTCTCTCTTGCTCCGGATTGCAAGATTAGATCTAATAGGTTGAAATTACAAGGGAGTCGTTACCAGCAAAATATCAGGAGAAACTTCCTAACTGTAAGAGTGGTTGAGCAGTGGAACAGTCTGCCTCGGGAGGTGGTGGAGGCTCCTTCGCTGGACGTTTTCAAGCGGAGGCTGGACAACCATCTTTCGGGTATGTTGTAGGGCTCTCTTTCGGCTGTGCTCCTGCAGAGTGCAGGGGGTTGGACTAGATGGCCTGCAAGATCCCTTCGAACTCTAACATTCTATGATTCTATGATCTTGGTTTCCGAAATACAAAAGAGAGCAATGGAGGGAGAAGGCGGGGTGGCCATTAGGGACGGCTGGCCCATGACCCACACTTTCAGGGGCTTTTGGGTCCTGACCCATGTTCCCTCTCTGAGTTAGTGTGAGCTGGCTCACAGTTTTTTAGCCTCCAGCTCACAAATTTTTGCCTTAGCTCAGGATAGTTCTAGAGCAAACTGATTGATGCAGTAGTCAACTCACTCGCTCACAGCTTTAATGCCAGTAGCTCACAAAGTAGAATTTTTGCACACACGACTCCACAGCTTAGAGGGAGCATTGGTCCTGAGTGACCCACAGGTTGGGAAATACCGCTCTAGACAATGCAGTGAGGGA